GGAAGGGTGTAAAAGAACATACTGCCAGTGTACAGGAATCCGGTGCCAGCAGAATGATCATGCTTGAAACAATCGTCCATCGAATTGAAATCCCACGAAGCAAGTGGCAGCTAGATAAACTAGGTGCTAAAAACTGCTAAAAGCAGTCCCTGACCGATTTGGAAGAATGCTGAAAGTGGGATGGTTATTGTGTCGATCTCTGTATAGCGAGAAGTTTTCGTGTGCTATTACACTGGAGGAACTGAAGAAGCAAGCGAATTCTGTGGTCACCAGTATTGCAGGTCATCCGTGCTCACAGAAACGGTTCTTTGAGGAGTCCACGAAACGTGTCAGTTCACAAAATAGCACTCTGAGGAAAATACGCTACACGAGTCTAAGGTTTATCTAGATGTAAAGCAAAAATATCTAGTGCTAATGCAAGAGGCACAGGGATGTGAGATAAACCGAAAAATAATTGTATGCGGAAAATAACATCGGAGAGAGTGGATCCGTTTATACTTGGAGCAGTAAACCAAGCGGCGGGTGAATATGCTACACAAAATTCCCTCAAGTCAATGACTGATATTGCACGGCAGCACAAAAATGTCATGAAGACATGACGAGGCGAAAGAAGAAGCCATCGGGGGAAAGCAAGCATAGAAAAGAAGATAATAAGCTTCTGAATTTCAACAAATCCTTCATAGAACGGACTTTGGCTGGTGAAAAACTTGAAGGTAATCATTTAAAAGAGGCCAAAAAGTGAATGAGAGAGATGAATCTCATACTTGCTCTTAGTGTGACTGTCATAAAACGTTAAGCATATAAACAACCGTATGAGAGTTTACGCAAGTAAAAAAGTTATGAGGCCCGATGTGCATTCGAAATACAAAACGCCAGATTCGAAATGTTCAGAAGACGATTTTATAGAAGTCTGACCGAAGAACAACCGCAAGCCATTGAGGAAATCAAGGATTTTTGGGGTACGATGTGGAACTTCGGAATGGCAAAGTATGATGATATCCAGCACAACGAATATCTGGAAGAATTCGTTCCAGGTGATGAAGTGGATCATACTTTTCCCTTTGAAGCGGAATTCGGGAAAATAGTCTCCTATTTGCCCAACTGGAAAGCAGCAGGGCTTGATGGAGTTTATAACTTCATTAAGAAGTGCACCTCTTTGCATCCATACCTGCACAAAATAGCAAGAAGGATTTGTCTGGATGGGACGGAACAGAATCCGTGGTTCTATAAAAGCATTACCTATCTGATTCCAAAAGGTGTCCAAAGTAAAGGCAGCAACTTCAGGCCAATAACTTGTATGTCGAACCTCTACGAGTTAACAACGAAATGTATGGCACACGTCATGTAGTTAGATTTTTCCATGAGAAAGCTGCTTACAGACGGTCAGTTAGAAACTGTTACCCAGATTCAAAGTGCGAAGGAACAAGCACTGCACTGTTGAACCTGACGGTTTGCAAAGAGCACAAGAACCAGCTTTACACTACGTGGTATGACATGAAAGAAGCGTTTGATTCAGTTAATCACGAGTATCTGATTAAGTGCATTGAAAGGCTTGACATGCCATCGTGGATCAGCAAGTTTCTGAGAAGCATCACCTTCAGATGGTCGTTTACATTGAAAAGCAATGGAGAAACTATAATGGAGAGAAAAATACAGCGTGGAATCTTCAAGGTGACAGCTTTTCTGCGCTGTTCTTTGTTTTATGCATAGACCAGTTGAGCCATAGGCTCAATATCAGATACCCAACGGTGGAGGTTCCCACTGATCAATGAATTCATGTAAAGAACCATTCACTATTTGTGGATGATCTCAAGATCTTTGCGACCGATGAGGATATCATGAAATCTACGGTAGAAGTTTAAAGGTTTCTTGATGTGGTAGAACTAGAAGTAAATTCAGCAAAGTCAGCCACTAATACCGAGGTATGCGCTGATAAAGAGGCGCTACTAGAAGGAACTCAATATACAAATACCTTGAAATAGTGGAAGGCAGGACTAGTGCACCTACCGCAGAGATTTTAAAGAGAATTGAGCGGTTAGCTAAAACTGCACTAAATAGCAAGAACTTTATCAAGGCTGTGAATGAGCAC